TGCTAAAATGTGCAAGGAACACATACTAGTATGTAAGACGCCATGCTTTTTTAAGTAACCAAGTTTTACTCACTCACGTATTGTCGAAATTTTCACTTGTTGTCGAAGTTTGCTCAGATACTCACATGTTGGCGATTACCCCTGTAATTCCAGTACTAATGTCCTACTAGTACAGACTTATTTATGGAATTCGTAGGGAGATTGCCTACGATTTCATATTTAACCAATGAAAACAATCCTGTACAATGATTGGATAATTCAATCACAAATCTATGTTCATCGCGAAACACTATTGACAATCAAATGCAGGCTGCATGATGATACGAGTAGTTACTATTAATACAATTATGCGACGAGGGAATACCATAGTCATGTAGTACTAACGTTACGGTAATATTTTCGACATCAATGTTGACTTTAAGCATCCATGCCGTCACCACGACCCTGTCCGCTTGTGAGGCATCAGTTATCGTCGGACGACTCCAACGTGCCTCTGCATGGAGTAATGCAACGTCATACTAGCAGTGCATACGCCAAGGTCCTCAAAGGTGAACATCCAACCACGTGATATTAACGATATTCCTGAAGTAGATTTATGCACTTGCTTGCACTTGAATTGGAGAAATGTAGATGGGCCACTGTCAACAACTTGACCCGTTAATAGTTCAATACTTGGTTCATAACAGAGATATACTTACGGGTCTTGTGTGCTTATGGCCCACATAAGAATTTCCTACGATTTCGTCAATTCACAAATGAATTGCGAAATTTTATGTTTGCTACAAATTCGTACTACATAAGTATATAACTTGGAAAAAAATTGAGGTTGCGGATTTCGAAATGCTGAAATCGTTTCATACAAAAGTCAAGTTCTGGCCTACGAATTCCGTAGAATGTGGAATGAATGTGGTGGTTTCTCTCATAATTTTTACCCTAGGAGGTATTTCCTCAATCCAAAGGTATATTTGAATTCAGGAGTTTAACGTGCAATCTGTGAGGGTTTATATTTTGCTGGAATCGCATTCTGCTCTCCCCGGTGCGTGATGGACAAGACATCATGATTTATTAGTCGTAACTGCAAGTACTTGGAAGAGCCCTTTGGGTGTAAATCTATCAGAAGACCAGAACGACCAATGCGTCGATTTCAAAAAGTAATAAATTGATAAATAGGTACTTCATCATCTAATTCGCTAAGAGACCAAAGATGTCCTGCATCATGGCATCCTCTTCCTGACTGAGATTGCTCCAGCAGCAGGCATGTTGATTCAACTTGATGGTGTCGACGATGCCCATGACCCACGGGTCCAACTCCACCGTGGACGTGTCTGCTGCGCACACATCATCTGTCGACGCCACTGAATACGATCGGTCGTTGTGGGCCTTGGACTCGTCCCAGCTCATGTCCATCGTTTCCAGCAACGATCCAGGGAGGCGGTGTCGTTGGCAGAACCCTCCCACTCGGGAGTGTGCAAAGCATCCGTTGACCTTGCAATGGCGACCACCGCCGTGCTTGACGCAGCGCTGCCGGGCTTGCGCTGGCTGCGCGCATCCTTGCTCGATGCACTGCTTCTTTTGGGCTCCGTGCTTGAAGCACACGTCGTTGAGCCGCGCACGGAGGGAGCAGCCGTTGACAATGCACTGCTTCTTGGCCCCGTGGCGGCAGCACAATTGCCGCGCGTACACCTGGTTGGTGCAATTCGTCACCGAGCACGTGCCTCGTCGGCGGTGGTCGTGTTTCGTGGCGGTGGTTTGCATCATCCCGATTTTTCTCAAATGAACTCGACTTCGCTAATGTAGAGCACCACCAGCTTACTACGAATTGACAATCAAAAGTGTCCCATCGATCGCTGTACATCAGTAGCCATTGAAGCCATTAAGCCACACTTCTTGATCGAAGAACAATCTAAGTGTTGAAGTCTGATTGG